TAGTCCCTAATAAGGCCCCAATCTGGAACAGTCCCTAATACAGCCCTAATTTGGGAGAGTCCCTAATAAGGCCTCAATTTGGCATAGTCCCCAAGACATCCCTAATTTCAAACAGTCCCTAATATGGCCCTCATTGCAAATAATTCCTAATAAGCCCCTAATTTGACATGGTCTCTGATAAGGCCCTGATTTGAAATAGTCCCTGAGAAAGCCCTAATTTCGAATTGTTGCTCACTAGATTGAGTGGAATTTCATATATTCTCCTCAGATTTTAACAGGACCCCATTATATGTCCCCCTTCATGTTCGGGTCATACGATAAACATCCTCCCTTATAATAAATATTGTTCGGAGTATTAACATTACGGGGGAGCCCTTGAATTTAGAGGGAAAAATTAGACGTCTGGAAAATGCCTCGTCCACGATCTCCGGCGTCACGTCCTGCCAGTCCTTCTCATCATGGATGTCGCCACACCTGCAGGTTGGGATGGTATGGGTTGCAGGCCTATGCATGGGGTCTGAGGCCTACACGGGGCTTCGGTAGGGTGACTTCTGATTGACAGAAAATTCAACAAAGTGCGCTCATCGCATGGAACTAGCCTCTGGCACATGCAGAAAAACCCTGCGTGAGTGAAGCAATTTTCATGCATGAAGTTTGGCCTAACTAACGGCATGCGTGCATCATGCGTGAGTGCGCAGCAACTGACAAATATGGAAAATGGCATGTGCCTTGTCCAGGCAGTCGCAAGGTACGTCTCACACGCTTCCACCAACTTCACCACCTTCTCACGGCGGGGGTACTGATCGAACTCCAGCTTCAGGCCGTTCAGCGAATTGCTGTCGGACTTGATAGCGCCACCTGCAAGAAAACCATCTGAGGGGAAAGTATGCATGGAAGGGAAAACACTTGCGGAAAGATGTTCCGGCAACGCCCTACCATGTATGCAGTAAATTCAGGCAAAGACACGCAACTTGTCGAGACGTTCCTTTGTATTTTGCGTCCCCTCCAACTTGATGCCCAGAGGCGTGTCCGTGGGCTTGGCAGCTTTCTTCTTGGGCTTCTTGGCCGGCGGCTTCTGGTCACCTGCATGTAGGAGAGGTTATGACGAGCAAAACACACGCAAGTAACTGAGGGTAGAGGACAAATTCCAAGCCTCCACCACTAGAGCCAGCACCACTGCCACCAGCAGCGCCATCAAAAACAGACTGGAGGTACGCCAAGCTGTCCAAGCTGCCAGCAGTGGAGCTCCGGGCCAAACCTGAGGAGCTGCTGCCGCCATCCAAGATCCGCATGAAGTCCGTGATCTGGCTGGGGTCCACTGCAGCCTTTATCTCCGCCGAGATGGACTGCGAAGCCTGCTTCTTCCGCGACTCCTTGGTCACACACCAGAACTTCATGTCCGCAAGGCTCTCCGGGGCATACTTGTCAGGCTCGCCCCGGCCCTCAGCCACAATGCCAGCAATCTTCTGCCTCAAGTGTTCTTGGCTAAACACACGCAGTGAANNCTAGGGCAGCTACTATATAAGTATATGGAATGATTCGAGCTCAGGAAATTCTAATAGGCTCGTGGGAGCCAGGTAACTTGCTGAAGCCTGCATCCTTCATCTGCTGGATGGTGAGCTTCTCTTCAATCTCATCCGACTTGCGCTCCAGGCCGACCTTGAGCTTGATGGTGGACTCCACTTTCTCTTCGTTGCCATCATTCTCCATCCACTTGTCGATCAAGGACTGGTGCTCAGAGGCAGTGCCGTGCCAGAGCTTCTCGATCTGGGGAAACTTGGACACACGCTCGCTCTGGACCAGGCGACGGAGCTTGGATCGCAGGCGATTGTCCCTAAGGACCTCCTCACGCGTCATGTCCTTGCGTTTCTTCTTGTTGGCGGGCGCAGCTTCCTCCGTCTTGGCAGGCGGCACAGGGGGCTCAACGACCGCGTCCTGCACTCGCTCCTCTTCCTCCTCGCCTTCGACATCGTCCTTGCCCAACTCAGAGGCATCCTCATGGGCTGCTTGCTCTGCCGCAGGGGCCGGACTGGGCGCAGGCAAAGTCAACATGGAATCAGGGCGGCGCTGCGACCTGACAATTTCTTTCAGTGCAGGTGCTTGTATACGCAACAATATTATCGAGAGTTGCGCTGAGCTTGTGGCTCCAGCTGCTTTTCAAGCAGGCTGTCGGCCCTCTTGAAGGTGTCCAACGTCCTCGTAGTACATTTATGTATACACATGTATCTATATATAACACTCATGTTGGGGTCTCATCATTCGCACGCGTGAGAAAATAAAAAGCCTGCACACACTTTGAGGTGAGCACCGTCCAGCTTGCAGAGCTGCAGGCGGGAGCTGCGGAGTCTGAAACGAAGCAGGAAAATGAGAAACATGTTGGCTGCATGCATGTTTGATGCGCCACTGCATGCCTCTGGCGGTGGCTGCTCCACTTGTCCGTCCTCACCCTCGTCGTCATCCACAATGACTTCTCTCGGAATCTTGGGCTTCTCCAACCAGTGGTGGAGGAACCCCCCCTTGATCGACGCAAGGCTCTCCGACTTGGTCCTGTAG